CCTTAAGCCACTCCTGGAAGGTGAGATTATTTTGATCATTAGAGATGCTTCCTGGAAGGATCCTATTGAGAACATTCACATCGCAGGGGCGTTCAGGAATTAAATGATCAATAGATTTAGTGTTAGTCTTACAAATTCTGCAGATGAAATCTTGAACCACACCAATCTTGTGAAGAAAATCAAGGGACTTAAATTCTTTTATATATAATCATACTTTGCGAAAAAAATTTCATTGTGGCCCCTTCAAACCAAATCTATCCTTGGTTTTTAACCGCTTTGTTTCTCTTTATTCATATTTAACTCCAATAAAAGACATCTTTCCAAGTTAATTAAATTCATCTTTAAAGATTGGCGGTGACACCCACCTCCTTGATGGCCAAATTAGGTTATAAAATAAATAATTCCTATCATTTATGCACTATCTTCCACATTAATTATTACTTTTATTTATAAAAATTTATTATACATCATAAATTATATTAAATTACACAATATATATCATTAGATAAAAGACAAGTCTATTAATATTAATATTCCTCCCTCATCTAATTATTTTTATTTTATAATTTAATACAATATAAACAACAAATGGATGACACTCTTGTTTAATGTTCATGCATTTTGAATTTCGAAGTTTGTGGTTCCCATTTCATTTAACCACCCATTGATGACCGTCCAATACTCGATGACCGTCCAATACTCCATTACATCACCCACGTACCACAACCGCATAATTGAATGTCGATGGGCGTGGACTCCCATCCACTTACCCAACCACATCATTCAGACACTCCGCGGAGGACGTAAAATACAGAGGGTACATGGAAAATTAATTTTGAATTTCCCTTTCATTAAAATACAGAATCATTTGTAAACAAATAATACGTTAAACCACAAAACTAGCACGCTAACTTAGTTGTCATTATTTCTTTTTAAAGTTGGAGACCTCGTATCCGGCTCAAAAATGTAGTTATATATATCCTTGGGGCCAACGATCTTACCCATTTGAAGTGAGATTGGAGTTTGTCATGCATACTGTGCTATTCACATTAAAGAATTAGAACGTGACACATTTGACTATCCCAAGCAATTTCCCACACGGCCATACCTGCCCGTACTAGCCTTAATTCTATATATACTAAAATTTTGTGACCATAAATATGTAATCTGAAGTGGAACTTTTTCTGAACAGCATGATGGGGCTACATATCTACCTACCATTATTAGTAATGAAACAAATACTTTACGAAAATAGCTAGAATCCAACTTCAAATTGGAATTTCCTGATAGATCAATGAACGAAGTTCTCAACCCCAACGAACCCTCATTAGTTAGGAAATTAGGTAATTAGGCAGTTGTCCGTTAGATCCAAAAAGTGCATACCCATTAAAGCTGCTTCTTTCCAGTCACAATTTCTTTGGAACTAAAGGACTTCAAATTAGCAAAGGTAACTTGAAAATAAAGCTAACTACTTTATGCTTACCAACGAGCTAAGGCTGGTGCAACACCTGGTCCATACTATGCAATGCATTAAGTGAGTGAGCCGGTGACAGTTGGCGAACTTATGCCACCTCTTGATACTGTTGCACTCGAGAACAAACTTCCAAGATTTATAAATGGTGCAACCAACTGCTCTTGAGCTACCAAACAAGCTTAGATTTCAGCTCCTCTCATTTTCAGCAGTATGCTCAAAAAACCGAGGGCATTCCATCTCTTTCACATCCTTGTTCTTCTAGCTGTAAGTCTGAATCTTCTCTTCAAATTGTGTATGTCATCCATTTGGTAATTTTAAGCATAATGCAGTTTCATTCATATGAAATTGATTTTGCAGGTGGCACTGGTGGCAAGCCATGCTGCTTTGTCACCCGAGGCCTATTGGAGGACT